GCAACGACATCGCCCACAACGGTATGGGTGTGCGATGTCCAAGGGAAAGCCGTATTGCTACAACAAACCCGCTTACCACCGGCACTAAGATGATATGTCTAGGACACATCGGTTAGCGAGTCCAAGTTTACCTCGGACCAATTGCTCGTGAAGCAGCACACACGCCACCATAATATTCCTTTTCAAGTCCCTAATAAGGACTAGTCATTTTGCTACAGTACTAGGAGCAGTCAGTCACCCGACCACCCCATACAATGCTTATGCATCAAAGAGACCTCCTATAATATTGCTTTTGTATCATAGACCTTACTTTCATAAGTCATGCACATATAGGATTCGAACCCACGACCATACTATTGTAATGCATATTAATCATAGAGACCTTCTATAGTATTGCTTTTGTATCATAGACCTTACTTTCATAAGTCATTCATATATAGGATTCGAACCCACGACCCTAATATTGTAATGCATATTATTCATAGAGACCTTCTATAGTATTGCTTTTGGGTCATAGACCTTACTTTCATAAGTCATTAATATATAGGGTTCGAACCCACGACCCTACTATTGTAATGCAAATTCATCATGGAGACCTTCTTTAGTATTGCTTTTGTATCATTGAGTTTAATATCATAAGTCCCTAATATAGGACTAGTCATTGTGCTACAGTACTTCAGGCAGTCGGGCTCCCGACCACCCCATATATATGTACAATTGCAGGTATGTATCTCCGACAGCTTCCTCCATACAAGACGTCTATACGTGAACACCTTCCATAACTTAGGAAAATTTTCTTTGATACATGAACTCCTTCAACAACTTAAGAAATTTCATCTATACGTGAACTCCTTCCACAACTTAGAAAAAATTTTTTTTTATACACGAACACCTCCCATGACTTAAACAATTTTTAACAAATTTTCTAATTATCTTATAAAGGTTATTTAACTTAAGTTTATAATATTTTTTGACTTGTTTTTCTATTATTTATCTTATTTTAAATAAATTTATTTATTACGAAAAACAATAATTTTGCCTTTAATTTACTATGTTATTGGGATAATGTCTGAAATATATTAACTTTATGTTTATTAATTTAACTTAATTGCTTAATATATATCTTTTAAGACTATTTTTGACGCCCCTTTATATTGAATTTAATTATTAATAATAATATTGGGCCGTCACAATATCAATGATAAGTTGCAAACCCGTAACATTCATTGCTATGCAGATGACAGCACTGGTGATGTTCTTTACACCGGCCGTGCCAATATTTCTCGGGGAAACATCTCCGAGTACCGGGACAAAGTTGTGTCTGAAATCGAGTCTTTGCTGAACAGTCTCGGATTGGGGGCGACTAAATTTAGTCCAGTTTAACCCTCAGAAAACACAAGAAACACTTTGACGTATCTGGTCAGTTTCAAGGCACTCTTCTTGTTGCCTCGGCCAGTATCGGAATCCTCGGCATCGACATATCGAGTGACGTGCAGTTTCGTGGTCACTTGGAAGAGAAGGCCAAATTGGCCTCTAAAAAGCTTGGCGTGCTCAGCAGAGCGGGACAGTATTATTATAAATTTGCAAATATTTTAATTTTAAATATTATAATGATTAAATTAAAATTAAATGTAAATTCAATTAATCGTTTGCCTCTCTCTCTCTCTCTCTCTCTCTCTCTATCTATCTATCTCTCTCTCTCTCTCTCTCTCTTTCTTTCTTTTATTTTTTTCATTTCATGGATCGAAACAATATCTTTTTACATCAATATATTATATTGAAGAGACGATTGTTGTAATTTTGTACGTAAGTATTTATCACGTAAAATAAAAACCGAACACGTTTAAATCTACATTTTGTTACGTACTTAGTTTTTATAACCTTTTACTTTTACTAAAAATTAAAAATGTTTATTACATAAAAATATACTTTTAAGACGTGTATCTACAATAAAAGTTTGAAAGTGTTTAAATTAATTGGCAGAATAACTAAATAAAAATTAACTATATTTTATAGGAACTGCCGAGTTTGCCGCCCTCACGACTGACAGTGTATGAATATCCACTTCCATCCATACGGAGAAACTGAAACAGGTGATGTTTAACAGTAAATTCCTGACACCTGGAAATAATAATAAAAACTGCGATTACCGACCCATCTTTCTTGCCCCTCAGGACGCCCACGGGATTATATGTGATTGCAGATATTCTATCCCTACTGCTACACAACTATACTATTTTAGAAGTATAATTTATATAATTAATTTTTAATGTTTAGAAGTAAACAGTGGAATTTAATATATAATTTTGATATAAACTCGAAAGTACCTATTTAAGGCATGATATAGTTTTAGGTATTATGATAACTTCGGAAGATTTCTTATTTATAGGAAACGTAATATGTACGATGGTATACTTGGTCATAGCGTTATTTGTTCCATTTCAAAAGAACTTATATGTTTATCAACATTTATAACGGTCAACTTGATCCTAAAATGTTATCATGTAGAGCTGTAACTATTCGTTAATGGTATGGCGGTAAATTTTATAGATACTTTAGGTTAGCGTTAACAATAGCTAAGGTTTTATCACTGAACACCAAGTTATATATATATATATATATATATATATATATATATATATTAAATTGTAAATTACTTCAATATATTTATAAAGTATGAGTTCTTGTTTTTAATTTCTCCACATGAACACACGAGCATCGGGAATATTTTTAAATTTTTAAAAGAAGGTAAATTAAAAAAAAAAAGAATTGCCTATACTATTAATAAAACGCCGTATTTTTATAATCTAAGATTTAGTTATATCTCAATATTACATTTATAAAATCAAACTACAGTACACTTTTGTATGATTAAATTAACAAAAATAGACTACTGCTCCTTACTGATGATATATTCTTACTTCATTCAAAAATAGTAAAGTAGTAGTAATAGTCTACCTACCCACTGTTCCAGTTTAACATGTAAGGAGACATTATGATCACAAACAATGAGGCTTCTATCTTACATGTCTGAACTTATCATAGAGCTGTAGTAGCTCGGGGGATAGGAGGTCGTCCTTAAATTTCGTCTGAAATTTCAGCTGGTTCAAACTTGGCCGTCCCCACTAAATCTAGGGCTTTTGTTTAAACGCAATTTGAAGCGCTGATTTAGTACTTAGCAGGATTGCTCAGGAAAACATTGTAAAGTTTGTCGACATCAACTACGTAACAATGCATGTTGCATTGTGTCAGAACTACACTAAAATCAGTAGTACAGTATGAAACCCAATAATACATCAGATTTTATCAGATTTATAATATATCAGATTGCCAGGCACACGTTGTTCTGCCCTTTTCGACGACTCTTTGGCATGTACTATTAAAAATCCTTAATTCGCAAAAAAAAATTACGGGGAAATCATGGGCAAAAAACCTATCCTATCTCTCAAGTTGGGCCAAACTCCACACGGTGTGCAAATTTGATTAAAATCGGTTAAGTAGTTTAGGAGTCCATCGCGGAAAAACAACGGGACACGTTATTTATATATATTATGAATAATGAAAAAACATTAAGCGTACTCTTTGCCGATGATGTGTCAGTGTTAGTGAACTGAGATAAAAACACAAATTATAACTATATTGTCTACAACACACTACAAACTAAAAAATTAGCTCGAAGGTCACAAGTTAGAAATTAACTATAGAAAGACCACAATTATGCAATTTCAAACATATAAAAGCAGTATATTAAATTTAAACATAAATTTTAATAATACACAGCTTGAAGAAGTTGATTCTTTTAATCTTTTAGGTTTGAAAGTAGATTCAAAGATCAATTGGAAAACGCACATTAATTATTGTATAAAGTCTAAAATATAAAAAATTACGTATGCTTTATTTCAAATTAAACACACCATTAACACAGCCATGCTTATGCTCGTTCTTGGCTGAAGTACGAAGTTATAGTGTGGGGAAGTAGCATCGATGTGCAGTAGCTAAATATTACCCAGAAGAAATGCGTTTACATACTACGTATACCAAATATACCCAGATAATAATAATAATAATAATATTTATAAAGGCGTAGGGAAGTGACGACCCCATCGCCCGCTGACGTAACAGTTATGTGACAAAACTGCGACGTCGGTGCAGTAAGTCAGCATCCTGCCAAGAGGTGTGAGCGCCATGCCTAGACAAAATTGTAGATGCAAAGGTCCGTTTGTGCATATGACCCAACCACGAAACGGTGCCGGGCTTGGGCGTCTCCCGTTATTTGGCGCCCATAAAATGGATGATGGCACAGAAAGGAACGTGCATAGGACCGCTGCCTGGGGGTCGCCGGGGCGCGTCTGGAGCTGGCGCTGGACGCGGCAGCATGCGGGCCGCCAGCCAAGCGCGAGGAGCTGCACGATCACCTAGCAGCCCCTCGCATCCATTATCCCCACCAGAAGGCTTGGTGTCGGCTGGGTCTTCTCGGACCCAGCAAGCGGCACCCGCCGCTGGTGGAGCACGTCGCATGCGTTGGACAAAATCCATGAACGAAAACGCATTGCGGCATTGCAAGGGGAAGAAACTGTGGGAATAGCGTATAGGTCTCGGATGCATTGCTTTTTTTGCTGAGCTGGAGCCGTCTATCTCCGTCACGGAACAAAACCTGGCAGACCGAGTTCGGTACATCATGCGCTCGAAAATATTTGATGATGCCGAACTCGAACGACTACGACGTGAGGCTATTCCGTCGTCGAATGAATCAGCTATGGCTGGAGATGCAGCTCCACATTCGACAGACCAGCATCCACACGTGGAAGCCGCCATGGATCTTCCAGCTGTGGTTGATTCGAACGACGATGAAATAGTCTCCCACGAACTAGAAAAAATGAGGAGTATATTGGAAGAGGCGATTTTGGAAACGCGCAGCACCCCTCTCGAAAATCGACCGCGACTTCCCCGCATACCCCTAAGCAAGCGAAATCGGGGTGTGTGTGGGGGCTCTTAACCCAATGCTGGTGACCTATTTGGAAGCCAGCCGGGACCTTTGCGAGACGGACTCGATTCTCTTTGGCGCCGCAGTGGCAGTTTGCCGTATTATTGGCGCCAAACTTCCCATGGTTGGACGCGCTACTACACAAAGTAGCGCCATCCCAGCCTGGAGAAAAAGAATCGAGGACCGTATCGCAAAGGCAAGGGCCCTTATCGGCAGACTGACAAGCTTCAGGTCAGGTAATAATAGACCGAGGATTGTGCGCACCGTTAGGATGGCGTTTGCTGGGACAAATATCAGTTTGTCCCAGCCGGATATCGCGCAGAAACTAACGGAGCGCATAGACGACCTGAAGCAAAAGATCGCTGCATGGGGGAAGCGGATTCGACGATTTTCCGAGGGGTCAAGGCGGTTCAACCAGAATCGTCTCTTCCAGAGTGATCAGAAGAGGCTCTATAAATCATTGGAGCGACCAAAGGTATGTGGAGCGGGCCAAGAACCGGATCAGGCTGACATTATCGCATTCTGGCGTGGCCTGTGGTCGGAGCCCGTAAACCACAGCGAGGGCCCTTGGATGGAAGTTGTGGCGAGCCAGGGTGCGAGTGTTACGCCTATGGACCCCATCACCATAACGCCAGAAGACGTGGCTGAGGCGGTCCGTAGGGTCCCGAACTGGAAAAGTCCGGGGCTCGACGGGCTGCATCATTACTGGCTGATGGGGTTCATAGTGTGTCACGCTGTGCTCACCCGACAGTTTCAAGAGGCTCTCGACCAGAAGTCACTCCCGAGCCTCTTCACTAATGGGATCACTCACTTGGTTCCTAAAGATCAGGATACCACAGACCCGAGCAAATACCGCCCCATCACGTGTCTACCCACCATATATAAGACACTGACATCCATTTTGCGCGAGAATCATTCGTCACCTGGAGCTAAACCAGGTGATGTCACGCGCTCAAAATGGATGTCGGGGCGGTGGTCGTGGAACTAAGGAACCACTCCTCATTGACGCGGTCATAGGCAAAGTGGTGAAACGCAACCGTCAGAACTTCTCTGCCGCCTGGATAGACTACAGAAAGGCGTTCGACTCGGTGCCCCATACATGGCTAAAGAGGGTCCTCGAGCTGTACAAGATTGACTGTACAGTTAGAGACTTCCTCGAGCAGTGTATGGGGCAGTGGAGTACGATCCTTTGTCATCTAGGCGAGCGGATGACGGCTGCGGAGAACCACATAAGGATAAGAAGGGGTATCTTCCAGGGCGATTGTCTGAGTCCAATCTGGTTCTGCCTCTCTCTTAACCCTCTTAGTGCCTTACTGGAGGGCTCCGGGAGGGAATTTCAGCTACGGAAAGGAGGGACAAAAGTGACCCACCTTTTCTATATGGATGACCTCAAGTTATTCGCCTCCAGTCGCTCCCATCTTATGGAACTGCTAAACATCACTTGTGAATTTAGCAGTTCCATTGGAATGGAGCTGGGGACGGATAAGTGTGCGGTCCTTCATGTTGCTAACTCTGAGGGCATAGACTTGTCTATGCCCGTCAACTTAAGGACCCTTTCCGAGGCTGAAACATACCGATACCTGGGTATGTCACAGAACATCGGTATCGATGAGGCTGGTATGAAACAGTCAGTTTGCGACGTGTTTTATGCACGCTTGACCAAAGTGCTGGCTTCCCGGGCCGGGCCATCATCACAGACAAGACTATTCTTGCGAATAAGCCTGATATTGTGCTGATGGACCGGGCACAGTAGAGCCTGGCGCGGTCATTTTCGAGCACGGCTTCCGGCAAGTACTTGTAATACGGCAATTTCCGGTCCACGAGACCGTATTTCAGAGCGAGCTCCTGGTGTATATTATTTTTTTGGTCGATATTACCATCCCGTATGACGAGAACCTCGTGAGAGCCGAAACAGATAAGCAATCAAAATATCTGAACCTGAACCGACATGTGGGGTGGTCTGCCGGCCGAAATTATTCCTGTAGTCGTCTCTGCGAATGGGCTAATCCCAGTCAGCCTCTCTGGTCATCTGAGGCGACTGGGACTCCGTGACGGACCGCTCCGGGCTCAAATGCAGAAGGCGATGCTCCTTGATACTGCCCGCATCGTCCGCCGGTTTCTTTCCCTTTCCCCCTAACCCTTGGCCGTTTGGTCTCCCCCTGCCGAGGGCTTCCATCTGGTTGGGCTTTTATTTATTTATGTATTTTTGTATTTATTTTATTTTATTGATATTTATGTATATTTATCTTTTCATTTTCGTTTATAATTACATATTTATACATCCCAACCAGATGAGAAAACTATATAGATACCCCACATATAATAATATTCCACAACTATCGCACAACGCCATCTAGTCCCAAGCTAAGCAGAGCTTGTGTTATGGGTACTAGACAACTGATAAACATACTTATATATTTCTAAATACATAAATATTATAGATAAATTACACCCAGACACAGAACAAATGATCGTGCTCATCACACAAACATTTGTTCTGGGTGGGAATCGAACCCACGACCTCCGGCATAACAGTCAGGGTCACTAACAACTAGACCAACAGGCCTGTCAGTGATAGATAACACTACTAGTTGTAGACCGTATTTCAAAAAACTAAACATTCTTTATACCATACCCTGTATGTACATTTATGATCTATGCCTGTTTCTCCACAAAAATAATAATATTTTCAAGAAGATCAAATGATACATGTAACAAAAATAAATTATACTTACCACAGTCGCGAACAAAAATGTTGAATACAGGCCCCTAAATGGCAATGAAAGTTTATATTAAATTACCAAAGGAAATTAAAAAAAAAACATATCAGAATTAACCGAATTTCAATCAAGCCTCAGTAAATATTTAAAACAAAACCCCTTCTATTCAGTAGAGGAGTATTTTGGTAACAAATATAACACTATTATTTATTTTATACTTCTAAGTATATTTTACATTTTATGTATAAGCAGTGTCCTCGTCAAATTTTCAGTGCCTGAAAAGGACGTCTAATTTGTAAGCACATTTTTAATTTAAGAATTTTGGAGTGCAAATAAATGATTTGATTTGATTCTTCGTCTTTAAACCGTCTCATTCATGAGAGGTGTGTGCCTGGCTGTGGTACGTATATAGGCTGTTTTTCTTTTTAATTTTTTATTTAAATATCCCGCAATGTTTGCATCTCGCATAAATATTGAAGCTATGGTCTTCCTATTAAGACAAAATAAGGCATATAGACACATCAGCGTATACATAAACACTCGCGCCTGTCACCAAGAGGGGTAGGCAGAGACTACGGACTTCCATTTGGCACGATCCTGACATACCTCTTTCGCCTCCTTTACATCCATATATCTACGCATACATGCTCGTCGGTTAAGGGTACTTCTAACGTGGCCCATTTTCAAAATATCGCCAATTTGGTCGATAAACTTTTTCCTAGGGCGTCCCTTCCCGAATCGGCCATTCACATCTGCCATATAAATTTGCTTTGTCACTCTTTCCTCATTCATTCTTTCTACGTGACCAAACCACCGAAGCATTCCTTTCTTAATCCTGGTCACAACATCATTTTGCATACCACATTTATCTATTATCACGCAATTTCTCACCCTGTCATTCAGATTACACCCTAGCATATTCCTTAAAGACCGCATTTCTACAGCATTTATTCTACTTTCATGCTTCTTCTGCCACACCCAGCTTTCACTACCATACATTAAAGTAGGGACTAACACAGCATTATGAATTACCATACGTGCCTGTTTTGACAAATTCTGGTTCTTCATAATAGAGTGTAGTGCCCCATTCACTCTATTCCCTGCATTTACTCGTCGTTCTATATCCCTATCATATCTACCATCCCTGCTAAATACACATCTCAAATACACAAACTCATCCACTTGCTCAATCAACTCTCCTTCTATTCTTATTTCACATACCGTTTTGCTTTCTTCTCTTTCAAAAACCATCACTTTCGTCTTAATTGCGTTCACTTTCATTCCCCTTTCTTTTAATTCCCTGTTCATTAATGTAACCATCATTTGCAACTCTGCCGCCGATGACGCAAGTATGACTTGATCATCGGCATACAAAAGGCATTTGACGGTTAACTCGCCCATTCTTAACCCACATTCTTCATCTTTCAAAGTTTGCAAACACCGGTCCATAAATAGGTTGAACAGCCAAGGGGAAGCCACACAGCCCCTGTCTGACACCTTTTTGGATGCCAAACCAGTCCGAGTAGACCCCATTGATCCTGATACAAGCACTAGAGTCCCTATAAAGAGACCTTAATGCCTGTATCAAACCAGCGCTCAACCCATATGAGTTCAGTGTTTGCCATAACACATTCCTGTCCACTCTGTCATAAGCCTTTTCCAAGTCCATGAACGCACAAAAAACTTTCTGGTTTTTGGCCAAAAACTTCTCCGCAATCATGCGCATGGAAAAGACTTGATCTGTACACCCCATTCCCTTTCTAAAACCCGCTTGCACATCCCAAATTTTTCCATCAGTTTCTTTCATAACTCTTTCAATTAACACCTTAGCATACAGTTTACCCACATTACTAAGCAAGCTGATACCGCGGTAGTTTTTGCAGTCCTGCTGTGACCCTTTTCCTTTATATATTGGTACTATAACTGCTTTACACCAGTCATCCGGTACCCGTTTTAATTCCCAACATAAATTAAACAAGGTGTACAGCAGGCCTCCACCACTCCCTCTCCAGCCCTTAGCATCTCGAGTGATACTCTATCATATCCAGCTGCCTTACCTGCTTTCATGCTTTTCATTGCTTTCATTATTTCATCTACACTTATCTCCACACCCCTTTCCACTTCTTTCGGAATTTCTAGTTCATTTAATTCAGACGACTCTTCACTCATAAACACGCTTTCAAAGTATACCTTCCATCTGTTTAAATTCGAAACTTCATCATTCAGAATACATCCATTCTCGTCTCTTATAGCATTTATTATAGGCTGTTTTGTATTTCCCCTGGCAGTTCTTACGAGTTTCCAGAACATTTTTATGTTAGCCTGGAAATTATCAGATATCCTTCTATCATTCTTATCCGTTCTTTCTTTCTTTTTCCTTTCAACAACTTCTTTTACTCTCTTATTTAGACGTCTAAATTCTGCCTTTTTTCTTTCAATCTCATCATTCATACCAGAAGAATTATCAGCTTTGGTTGCTAGTAAATCTAACCATGCTTTCTTCTTTGATTCAACTTCCACCCGTACCTCATCATCCCACCATAACGTATTACTTTTCCTTTCATTTGTTCTCTTACTTACACCGCATACTTCGGTGGCGGTATCCACCAAACCTTTCTTAATATTATACCACACAGCATTCAAGTCTAAATCATTCATACACAACTCATTCAAACATCTAATATTTTCTCTCAGTCTACATTTATACTTCTCTATCACATCTTCATCTTGTAACTTCTCTATTCTTATACGCTGTAACGCAGTGGTAGATACAGATGTCCGATGCCGCCAACGCTTAAAAAGACCATTAATTCGACATAAGACCAAGTAATGATCCGTCCCTACGTTGGACCCCCGGTAAACCCTTGTATCTACGACTGCGCTCCTCATTCTTTCATCCACAATTACGAAATCTATCATGCTTCTATCATCACCTCTTTCCCATGTATACATGTGAATCTTCTTATGACGAAAAAAGTATTCGTCACAAAAAGATTCTTTTCCGCACATACGGTGAGGAGGTCTTCACCATTCTCATTTATACTTTCATCACCAAACGTTCCCAATATCCTTTCATAACCAGACCTCTTCACCCCAACCCTTCCATTAAAATCTCCTAACATAATAATATTTTCATTTTCCTTACATTTTGTCAACACCATCCTTACCATGTCCCAAAACTGCTCTCGGATGTAAGTGGGCTTAGACATGTCTGGGGCGTACACCCCTAGCAGGAACAGCTTCTTTAATCCCACTTTCATTCGTATCC